TAACCGGTTGACTGTGTTTTTTTTTTTGGCGGGGGAGTAAGTTTGGATCTGGTAGGTGGTGAGAGAGGGGGGGGGGGGGGGGGGAAAAGAGAGAGAGAGAGAATAATAAAGTGGGTAAAAAAAGAGAGTTCGGTAATGATGTATATCTGTTTTTTTTTTAATCTTATTTTTTTTTAAAGAGGAATAACTTCTTATTCTGTATGTTGTCAGAGCAGGGGAGAGAGAGAGAAAAGAATAAAATATGAATTTTTCTAATAATAAGAGATATTTTAAATTAAAACGTTTTATTTGTATTAGACATTGATTGTGTAAAATTTTTTTACTCATTTTGAACTGCTGGTGTTATTTCAATGATTTCATTTGAAGTTGATGATGTTGCCGAAATATTATCATTTTCATGTCGTCTAAATAAGTAGTGTTTATAAAAATTAATTCATATAGTAAATTTACAGAGACGAATTATTTGATGCAAAATCATTTAAAAATTCCAATGTTGACATTGCTGATGAAATTTCACTCATAATTTTTTTATCTGAAATTTTATTCAAATTGATTCTCGTTTTTTTATAATTTTAAATTATTATTGTTTTTAAATACAAGACCAATCATATTATTTCAATGACATTTAGATTTTAATATTAAAAAAATTGTTCTTAAAATTATAACTATACTTATGATTCATCGCTGGTAGTATTATTGCTAGAAGCTGATGCTTGTTCAGTTCGTGGTTTTTTAATAAAAACTATTGCTTTAGGTCCGGTGGTGTTTTCTGTTGTAGTGATGGTACCTTCACCATCTGTTTCCATTTGTCTTAGAATCGGTAAATACTGGTCTTTTGTATATTTTCTTTTTAAATTTGATGGTAATACTGATAATAATATTCGTTGATTTGGATGATTTTTTATATAAGATTTAATATGTTCGATGTCACTTTGAGGGATACCTTCAATATTATTACCTAAAAATAATGTTCACTTTCTCAGAGACAATACTGTAATAGGTGTTCGAAGAGAAAGAATAATTATTGTAGCATAGGTTAAGTTATTTTAAAGAGTAATGGAATAGTTTTATCTATGTGGGACATAACTTTCTTATACTTTTTCAAACATAAATTATAAAACATTTGCAATATTATTGTAACTAATAGAGAGCATGTCAGAATTTATATTAAGGCATACGTTACCTTCTTTTCCGGTAATGTTTTTGTTATTTATTGGATCATAGCCAGCTAAAATTTTTTTAATAGAAATATAATAATCCATCATTTTTTTCGCATTGAAACAGCTCTCATAGTCAATTATTAGTTCTTCATTTGTTAATGAATCAGATAATATTAAGTTTTTAAAATTTTCATCTAGTGAACCAAATACTTCAACTTGATTAGTTAAATTGAAAATTTTTCGAGATACGGTTTTAAGAATGTGTAAAATTAATGCAAGTCGTTGTACATGCTCAATAGCTTTTGTTAAGTTACTATAATACATAGTTTAGTACATATATATGTATATTTTTTTATTTTTATTACCTGGCTAAATAATCATCTTCATTACTAAAACTAACCGACTCACAGTCATATGCATATGTTGTATCTTTCATGTATGTGTAAGCTACTTGAGAAAAATAAGTAAATATGAAAGAGAAAGAACGATATACCTTCTTGATTGAATGAATATTCCTGCGGTTCCTTGTGTAGTTGATGAACATAATAGAATAGATGGGCGAGTTTTGGTATTCTATTATCTGGTGGTGTACAATCACGACTTGGTTTTCTCTTTAAACCAACTGCTATTAGAAATCGGTTAAACAAGCCGTCATCATTTGATTCTACTGCTTTAACACCAGATCCTAATTATAGAATTGTTAAAAAATCTGTTTATACTTTTACAATGGAATCAGTTTTTATTTATAGATTATCAATATACTAGCTAACTGTATCCTACTATTCGTAGACTAATTTTGTTTTTTTAAAGAATGCTAGGATATCTTTTTTTCAATATTGTTTGATTATAAGATTTAGAGATTTTTCTATTGAACCAATATATATATGAAACTTCTCTACACTGTTGAGATATGTCTTATGATTATATATACATCACATTTAGTCAAAAGATCATTAATTTGCTTAAGTGATAGTCAATTATGAATTTTTAGATAACTTTTATTTCTTTCTTGTGGTTAAAACATGTCGATTATTTTTATCGATGGACGAATCTCATGTTTTCTGTTACCGCTCATGTTTATTCTTGTTTCTATTAACGCAAGTTAGGTACGTTAAAATATTAAATTTGTAATGTGTTTACTTTAACACTAGGATATGATGATATTATGAGAAATTGGAATTAAACTTTTATAATATGAGTATCAAATTTAAATAATTTTTAATCAGAAAAATTTTGAAAAACAAAAGTTACCAGTTAAACAATTGATTGTTTCACGAGGATGTCCAGCTGCAAGAATACATAATCGTGGTTTAACCATAACATTAGTCCTTGAAACTAACTGACGTCTCACAATTCCTGTTGGATTGTACAATTCACACATTATCCCTCGATCGTATGATGCTCGTTCACTACGGCTGCCACCAAATAATCCTAAGAATATAGCAAGTTCATCCCATAACTAGAATTGTAAATTTTTATAATTAGCAAAAACGAAAAATTTAATACTTGTAATAAGTGAGGTCTCTGTTGCAATTCCATACAGACAGATTCCATCGTAGCTGAATTATTCAATGAAGATTTTGCAATTGGTATTCCTATTATTGATTCAACTTGTTCACATGCTTCTTTAATTATTCGTATAGGACCACTCTTCTTTGAACCTAAAAATAATTTGATTTTTAGAATGTTATTTCTTTATAATACATGTATTTTTTTTTAAATACTTTTATCTTCAAGCCTATTTTTTTCTTACTTCTTCATAAATAGGTTACATTCAAAATTAAGATTTTTGTCAAGGAAAATATAGCTAAGTGAAAGACTTGAAAGAATGACTCTTGTAATTGACTCAAACTCATACAATACAGTAAATTTTTAATATATTGGTAATGTAAATATATTTATAGATAAGATTAGAATAGATTTTTTTTATTTTCATATATTACAATAACTTGGAGCTCACCTTTTCCTTAAAAATTTTAGCATCGATTAGAAAAAGTAAACTTGAGATAATTTATAATTGAATACATTGAAATGTGTATGCTAAAAATAAGTATGATTTTGAGAATCCTTTCCTAAAAACATGAATTGTTGAACAAAGTCATTAAAACTTGATGAACTAAAATTTTTCTCACAAAAATAAAGTTCATGCTATTACAATAATTTTTCACGAATGAATCGATTTTTAACTATAAGAGTTAGTCAGCGAATCTAGCATGTATACAATTTCGATTAGATAGTTATTACTAACTGGATTATTATTAACAGATGTTTCTGAACATGTTTTCCAAAAAAACTTTTTCTGAAACTGTTATAATGATTGAGAGAAAATCTGTTTTTATCAACGTTTGGTTGTTTCCGTAAAGTTTTTCATCTTATAATTGAAAATTTTTTGTTTCATGTATGTGCCACTGTTTAAGAAAAAGGACCAACAGAATTACTAAAACCAAGTGTCTTCCATAGAGTTAAAAAAAAAAGAAAAATTTCTTTCATTGTAATCACAGATTGATGTTGAAGATTCTATTAGATCGCAAAAATAGTTGCTATCCATGGACTAAAATTGCTATAGGTTCAACATATAATAAGATAAGACGCTAAATTTTTTTAACATGATGTTTGACATCTCCTTAAGGGAGAAAAATTTAAATCTAGTAAGATATTACAGGACGAAGACTATTTTAGAGGAGTCGTGAAGTAGGATTTAAACATACCACTTCCACCACAAATTATAGCAAATAAAATCAAAGGAATGTTGTAAAAATCGACGCCTTTCAATTGTGCACCGTTGCTCCAATGGCATATTGCTACGGCCATTCCAAGAAAAATATATGATAATGGTAAATTGGAGCTCCTATGTATATCATTAATAATAGAATAAGTAAATTCATCCAAAATTTGTTTTAGATCAATTTCTTCGAGTGTACAGCGCTTTATTCTTCTTAGATACTCTGTAGGCTCCATCGTCTATAAAAAAACAATATATGTATGTTACTAATTTATTATGACTCCAATTTAAATTACCATAGTTTTTAAAAATAATTTTACCAAAGAATTCACTTATTGAATCGTTGTATTCCTATTGAAAATCTTGGTGAAATACTTATTAAAACGATGTTCGTTCAATTTATAAAAAGGCGCTTCGTAGTAATTTTCTTATTAGCGATTGTTAATGTTATTTCATTTCATTTCATTTTTTTATTTTGAGTAAATGTGAGAGGTGAATAAGATAATGTTAGAAGTGAAAAAATATGAAGTTTGCTTATGTTGCGAAGGGATTTAGAAAACCTCTTTGAGTTTTAATAAAAAGAAGAAATTCGAACTGATATCAATTCTTTTAATTTCAAAAAATGTTCTGAAGCGTTATCGAGTCTTTTGAAATTGTTTAACAGGTTTCGACATGTAGGAATTCTAGTAATATGACGCCTTTTTTCACAAATATTATCAAATAAATAACTATTCATTCGATACTTTCATAGTGTGTTTATATGTACAGCATCTAGACTAGTTTTTTTTTAAAATAATTTTAACAATTCCAACAATAATTTTATTAATTATGAATAAGTAAGCACAAAGACGATTAACAATGTATTTTGCGAATTTATATATCAATTTTTTTAATGTATGAATAGGAAGTATAGCGAAGTTCAAAACAAAACTCTTCTATATCTATAATGTGTGTTTCGAGTTTTCTTTTGAGATCGAGTAAAACTTCATCCCGTTCAATGTTTTGTCGTTGACGTGGTCGTGTTAGACGATTCTGATGTTCTTCTTGTTCTATTGAAATGATAGTTGATTCATCTAAATCTTGCATTGACATTATCCATAACCAAATATTTGGTTTTGATAGAATGCGACTGGAAATACATTTGAAAAAGAAAGCAAATATTATACAATAGTGAAGAAATATATTAATAACAGAAAAAAAATTACTATAATCATAAAAATGATAAGTTATAAAAAGAATATATGCAAAATCAATTGTGAAAAATAATGTTATTTTTTTAAATACTTTTTTAACTGTCGATGACTTCCTTCAACATGATTATTAGTGCGCGGTCGTGTACCAAGAAAATTAAAATGATTCCATGAATCAATAGGAAATTTTTTACTATTGATATATGTTCGCCGCACATATGATGTAAATGAATTAAAAGATATATTTTTCATACGTAATTCTCGACCAATTGAATCAAAACGTTGACGTACAAGATATACCGGAACCATTGGTAGTGCAATAATATCTGCAATGTAATTTTTGATATCTGTTTTACGTGCTTCTAAAGCCAAATCTTAACAATTGACGTACATTATATTTATGAGTTGAAAAAAAATTGATTAATAGTTAAAATTACTTTTATTTTTCAAATTTCTCCAAATGGATTTTGCGAAATGAAAATGACAGAATGAAATATTTATATTATTGAACACCTTTTTTGAAGCTATTGCAGCAGCAGATTCAAAATCAATCATATGTGATGACGGCGCTAAATTTACGCCTAGCACTGCTGCGGCGTCTTTCAATGATTGAAATAAAGTAAGATATGTTCTAACATCTTTCTTTGTTGTTGCTGAATAGCATATCGATTTCATACCTAAACTTCAAATTTATTAGTATAACATCATAAATTTATTCTCAATTATTTTTAAAGAGATCATAACAAGATAAAATAATTTTGTGAATATTTTGTTTCTACTTGTAGTATTATAATATTCTTTTTATGGATAAATTTTATCTATGATTTATTGAAATACTGATAATACCGTATGTATTAATATTTTTACATATCAGATATTTAGCGACGAAGAACCTTTTGTGTGACAATGTTTAATTTGTTTCTTAAAACACACAGTTTTTTTGAATAAAAAAAAATCATAAAAGTTTACTATAAAATAATATTACATGTTCGTGGAAGGAAAAAATTTCTGGAGAAATATAAATTAGCAGAATTATGATCAAAAATTGTTTTTAATGAAAAATATTATTAAATTAGTCGTTTACCTGTATCAGCTAACCACGCATGTACTGTGTATGCTTGTTTAAAATATCGTGATGCTGTTTTAAATGTGCCGTCTGAGTGAATGATAGAGCACGTACCTAAGTCAAATTTAATAATTCATAATAGCAAATATAAAAGATTGATTATTTAGTTTAAAATATTAAAATAATTACATGAGACGAGATTTTTTAAATAGTACTTATCTTTTGTAAAAAAAAATAGTTAAAATATACATGGAAACATTTGTATAGATCATTATACAAAAAATCCAAAATACAGAAATAAATCTTTTTCGGTCTTTTGGAAGATCAATTTTTTTATTATTTTTTTTATCATGATATTTATTAAGAAATTTGTTCATCAAAATTTTTCGGTTCTTTTTATATGCCTCAAGTGTATATATCACTGCATACATACCGAGATAATTTAGCGATTTTTTGATGCAAAAACTATTATACGATCAGGATTCGCTGAATCATGGATCAAAAAAGGTTCGTTTGATAGATTCAGACGAAAAACCTCTGGTATTATAAATGTACGTATATTTGTTTTCTTCGGAGATGGTGGTAATATTTCTAAACGTTTTCGGTATCCTGTAGACCTTAGTTGCTGAAACATTGGTATTTCAGCTGCTGTTCCATATTGACGTCTCTAAAATAAAAATTATCATTAAAAAAAAAATTACATATTAAAATCTACAAATTTTTTGTGACTTGTTCGTAAATTCGAGGTAACGGAGTTCTTATATCAGAAACAGCTTTTTGTCGAAATTCATGTACAACTTGCAAAGTATGAAATGGAGGTAGACGTTCGTCATGTCGATGTGTTCCTCTGATAAACTTTATCTTATCATCAAGTAAAGTAACTGATGCATTACAACGTTCATCTGTACAAGTAAATCTAATTGAGCCATTATTGTTACGTTTTTGAATACGATATAAATTGGTATCAATCTGAATTGCAGGTGCACCCCTCTGAGTTTTAGTCCAGTGAAATTCAATTTCTTTATCCATTACAGTTGAATAAATACAATAAAGCAGTATTATTTTGTTAATAAATATTTGCGTTGTTTTAATACATAAATATTCATATATATAAGCATAATTTAGAATAGTAATACATTAAATTTAGAGAAACGCAATAACAGAAATTTCTAAATGAATTTTTAATGCTACGCAAGTAGTAAATATAATTCAACATACCAGAATATCTTTCAAATAGTTATGCTTATTCTAGATAAAGCATCGTGCCATTCTCTAGAAAATTATTTATTGTATATTTCAAAAGTTTGTATTAAAAGAAGCAAGATATTTAATACTATAGTCACTATATTAAAGTAAATTGGAGAATAGACAGTCGTTGATAAAATGAGAATGAGTCATATAGATAATTAAATGATGAAATAGCTTGTATTGTAAGATTTTATTGAAGAAAAAAAAATTAACATACTAAATATACAGTAAAATTCATATTTTAAAAAATCTATGACATGAAGAAAAGAATCTTGATATTAAAATAGTTTAATGATTGCTTATCACAAATATCGTTGAGAAATAACAAAAAAAAATGATATTTAAGTTACTTGTTGAGCGCCCATCAAAAATGTTATTGAAAAAAAATGTTGATAAATTTACTATTTTCATTTTTCGTTTTAACCATTAAAAGTGTTATTGAAAAAGGTTTTGAGACATTAATTCTTTTTATTCTCATTTCAAGCTACCTATAATATAAAATATAGATTATTTTTATTTTTATTTTTGTATTCGTTTCAAGGCGCCTATAATGTAAAATAAACAAAGTACCTGAAATGAGACTCTCCCGATTCATAGATGTGACATTTCGATGTCGTGATTAGATAAACTAATGAAAATAGATATATTCCTCGGTAAATAACGCCTGAAAATAATATTTATGTACAAATGGTACGACAAATAAAATTAGATCAAATTTTTTTTCCTTAAATCTATCTTCGATTAGACATCGAAATGTAAGAAGAAGTCTAATCATAGAAAACCTTGCATTTATTTATCGAGTAATTCCTGTTAAACATATGACATCACGTACTTATGGTTAGAAAAAATATGCATGATTCAAAATTGCTAGATTCATAAGTAATTGAATTTTTGTTCAATCTTTTAAAACAGTTGAAAAGATCATCAGATTTGTAGATAAGAATCTGAATGACAATAATTTTACTGCAATTATTTAAACGTATATCTAAAAAGAAAACTAATTTGTTAATGAAGATCTGTATATGTATATATTATATTTGTTTTTAGATAAAACATCACTTGAATATGAATTTTTGAATGATGCTGCACAACATTTTCAATCGCATTCAACAGCTTTAGGTGGTATTAAATGTGAAGGAGATCCGGCAATGCAATTATTAAATTATAGTCGTGATTTATTTCGTCAAATTGAACAAAACTTTTACAAAAGTCAACAAAGTTTGTCAGATTCTGATCAAGAAATGTGTAAGGTAATTATTTGTATTTCTCATAAGTAACAATTTGCTATTTAGTACTTGAAATATTGTGCGAATGACTAAAATCTTATTTTTGCCATTAACAACTGCGTATTTGTGACATTTAGACTCATCGAATCTGAACAAGAATTTGAGTAAAATTCGATTAGTTTTAGTCGTTCTATCTGATGCTATTGTTTCACTCGATTAAGTACGATGAAAATGTAAGATGTAGTTGAAAATCCAATTTTTTGTAAATAAATTTCGAAATTTCGCAATCGTATTTCATCTAGTGCAGCAATACTGTTGAATGAAGTGATTCAAATTTCTCAAACGTCATTTAAATTCTTGTTCGGATCTGACATTTCAAGTGTCCCAAATATACTGTCTTTGATGAAATAAAAAACAGAAATTGTTTAATTTGTATAATAATTTTGTTCATATGTGATATCATTTTAGTGTTTACATGGTGATGAAAGCAAAATCGATGGTGTTGATATGGATAATCAAGATAGTAATGATATTGATGATTTTATGGAGTAAAGAAATGATTTCCATTACAAGATCACAAGAAGAATTTTTATGATATTTTTGATTTTTAAAGCAATAAAAAATTATTTTCATAGCTATAAAAAATTATTTTCATCACAAGAATAAAAAAGAAACGTTTTATACATTGAAAAAAAAGAAATAATTACTTCATCATATTCAAAAATGAGTATATAGAAGAACGCAACGATTGATTAATAATATATAAAGATCTATTTTTGATTGGTAGAATAATTCTGAAGTTAGAAAGAAAGAAAACAAATGTTCATCTTATGAACAATTTCTTAAATTTGAACATTTAATGAAAATGTATTCATCATTTCATCTCAATATTTCAGCCCAACACCACTTGATCTACGCACTTTTGCATTAACATTATATGTTTATTCAATAATATAGAAAAGGAAACATAATATCTTATTTGAACTAGATGGCATTTGAGAGAGGCTCTCACGTGCGAAATGCGATGCAAATTTTCGAATTTTGGTGTGTTTAGAGATTATGTTAGGTTAAAAAACGGATTCATTATTCAATCGCAGCTGTTTTCTCCGCTATAAAAACAAATGTTGAACAACTCGATTGGCGCCTAACTTGTCCTTCTGTTTTCGTCTTACTTATCTTCAATGATCAAACTCTACAGTAAAACCTTTCAATAGTGAACACCATTGGGACCCTCCAAAAAGTGTTCACTAAAGGAGGTGTTCATTATATAGAGGTTTGCATTGACTGAACTGTTACATACTTCCAGTGGTCACTGGCTACTGATCAGTATAACCAACTGATGACTACGCACCTCATAAATTAGAATTTACTCCAACTAGCTCAAATCAACAACTATTTCTTCTAGCTATTGCAAATTTTTATTCATTTCTATGGAAAACTTGGATCTTTGCCTGCTCGCTTCTTTTCGGGTCGATGAAGAGTTGAGTGAGCTGCGCGATAAGAGAATGCATTCATGGTCGGTGAGAGGCAGCTAGTAAGTGTAATCATCTGACCATTTCCATTGCTTCGATGAGCTTGAGTTCGGTTTCAGTCAACATGACATGTCTTCGTCATTTCACAATCGTAAATTGAGAAGTGCATCATTCTTTCATCTACAACCAATCAATCCACCGTGGACTATTCACCGTCATTGCTCCTTTCATTCCATTACATGTGACGAATTTTCTTATAATGGATAGACCATCGATGAATTAGTCTAGCACCGCTGCAGAATGTACGCTGCATCCTCTTTTTTTACTTCTGTTTCGTAGCCGTGCACATATTTTGCTCCACGTGCATTCACTATATAGAGGTTTTCTTTGATGTAGGGACCAGAAATAGTGTTCATTGTTCAGAGTTGAGAAGTGTTCATTATATAGAGGTCTGTTTCCAGCAAAAATTCATCGGGGGACCGAGCCATGCGTTCAAACGAGAGGCGTTCACTATATAGAGGTGTTCACTAATGGAGGTTTTACTGTACTCTAATTTTATAGATATATGTTTGCGGCACAGCCTCAGATGAAGTAGAACGATTATAAACCACAGCAATGATTTATTATGTCGCGCCTGCCTGTAATGGGCGCTGTCTGTAATGCCGGGTGTCTGTAATGGGAGGAGGGGGGGGGGGGCGGGGAAGAAACTTCGACTTAAAACTTACACTCACTATTTTCTTCGAAAATATGTGAGTTCCACAAAAATTATAATATGGTTCGGATTGAACAAGAACGGATGAGAACTGCAGGTTTGAATTAAATGTATATCAGAAAATATATGTATAAGATATCTTTATGATTTTTTTTCTTTCGACATCAAACAAAGTTTCTCATCTTACTCGAAAATCAATTCAACATATGAATATCTTATGTACTATGCAAATACTAAAATAATTCTGTTTTCTCTCAATCAAAATGCTGCATTTTAACTTTCGTAAAGTGATAAATCTGTATGAACGCGTTAGACCTAGTTCTAAAACAAATGAATAAAGCGGTATTTTATGTGAAATTATCGCGTTAAAACGTATCAACACCTTCAAATGTGATATAACTTGTAAAAACTACCGCGGAAATGGTAAAAAACGCGTAAGTTTTAACAGAATTACGCATTTTAACGCGTTTATGATTTCGTAATAACGCCGTTTTAACGATAATTTGTCTTTAAAACGGCGTTATTATCGAACCTTAACGCGTTAAAACGCGTTTTTTTTATTGACTTTGCCTGTCTGGGCACTGGCATTCACATCACGCATGTACCAACCGCTGATAAACACGAACTAGATGCATTTTTCTCACAACGTTTGCTGGGCGTTTTTGGTGAAATACAACGAAAATTGAAAATCTTGAT